GCTGGGAGCCCAGGTGGGCTTGCACACGTGCCCAGGATGAACTTCAACTGCTGCTCTGAGCTGTGCAGGGCCTGATGAGGTGACGGGAGGATTGACTGGGGACCAGGGGAAGTGGGCAGCAGGAGCAGTGGGGTCAATGCCCCTCAGAATATCTCTGGCTCCGCCCAAGCAGTGCAGGCCCCACTGATATGCCCACCTCTTGCCTGGGCAGGAGGGTGCTTCCCACTCATGGACACCTTGGAGAATCTCAAGAGTCACCCCTGTCTCCATCCCTTTGGTTTCCTGGATGAAGCGGGCAGCACGCCCCTGCCCACACCTGTCTGCCCTGAGTCCACTCCTCACCTTCCCACCTGGCCCTGACGGAGTTCAAGCTGAGCTGGAGGCTGCACCTCAGGCTTTGGAGTCCCTCAAGAGACCTCACCCCTGCTGCAGGTGCCTAGTCTAGGGAAAAGAGATGAGCCCATGGGGCCAGCCCAGGCCCTCAGCCCACCCTACCACCCACTTCCTGATGTGCCCAGTGCTGTTTGGGCCCTGAGGAGGAGGAGGAGCTCCTTGAAAACAGTGGTTATGGCTCCCGCCACCCTCGATGTGGGACTTTGGACAAGTTATGTATGCCTGGCGCCTCACCTGTCTGCCAGGCACCTCACACCTGCCCACGGGGCCTCCATGAGGATAATGTGAGGAGCTCCATGCACTGCCTGGCACAGGGGGAGCCTCATAAGAGGTGAAGTCGTTGTAAGAATTAAAGAATGGAAATACACACACAACTCTCCCTCTCAAATAAGCACAGCAAAAAAACACAGAAGCAGTCCAAGCTTCTAATAAACTCTCCCACCCTAAATCCTTAAAACCTCTTAGTCCATAAAAGAGTGTGGCTCCGACCTAACTCAGCCAGCTGCCCCTCTCAGGTTTATTTAAAATAAACCTGTCCCTATTGATTGTACAGCCACCCTTCGTGTTTCTCTCCTCTTTCTTTAATTATTACAGTCATAGTCTCTTGCCTGGCAAGACAGGCACGTGTCTTCAGGAAATGGCATGTGTGCTGCATATTGTGACTTCCCCGAGTGCAGGAGCAGTGACCTGGTCCCCTTCTCCCCACAGCACCGCCTCAGTCCCGCAGACGTCACGTCTAGGTGGCTCATCTTCAGCAAGGTGAAAACTGTCCACAAACACCAGCCACTGAGGACCTCTCTCACCTCTTGAGAGATGTCGGGGTCCCTTCCCCAGCACCCCTGACTACAGCCCCGACACCGCCACTCCCAGCAGGATGTCCACCATGGCCCCATCAGCTGGGCTCCTGGCCTTCACCAACCACCCAGCTGGGCTGGCTCTGTGATGTCAGCAGCGAAGAAGACACAGTTCCTGAACGTGGAATCTCAACTGAGAGGGAGGGATCGCTGGCCACATGGGCTGCCTGAGGCCCCTCAGAGCCCTCAGCACCCAGGGCATTTCCAAGCAAGTCCGGCAATAGCAGTTGGAAGTTATGCTCTGCCTAGCCCATCGTATGATCCCTGGAGGGGCTGCCCCCTCCTCAGCCAAGTCAAGGCAAGCTGGCACCTCCCTCCAAGGCTCCTGCCTTCCAAATCCAAGGAAGCTGCTTCCTGGGCAGGACAGGACCTGCTCATACCAATCCCCACGGAGGGGGCTGGGGGAGACTGGGGCTTCCCAGCCTCCGGGTGTCTAAAAGAGGCTAAGGCTTCTCAAAGCTGGCGCTGACTCCTCCAGATGAGCTCCCCTCTCTTGCTGCCTCCCCTCAGTGCAGAGGTGCCGGGGTGGTGAGATCACAGGCTCTCAGAGAGCCTAGCCCACGGCTCCTCCATCAGCCCCTGCACACTGCAGGGCACATCACGGGTACAGAACATGAAGCTCTGTCCTCAGTGAGGCATTCCTCACCTAGCAGCAAAGGTGAGCCCGTCCCACAGGTGTGGATGCAGGGTCCTGGGGGCAGCCTCCCCCTCTCCCTGCCCATGTGGTCCTGGGCACTGTGTATCCATTTTCACTACCCACCCTAGCCCTGGGGAAAGGAGACCTGGATCCAGTCAAAGACCACCGTCCCCAGGCCCGGGGTGGCCCAGGCCTGGGTGCTGGACTCCAGCAAGGCTGGTCCCATCCTTCCATGAGATCTGCTGTGTCCACGCTACCAGCAAGAAGCTCTGCCCTTCATACGAGCCATCCGGCTCCACCCCAGCAACAGGGCTCCAAACACTTGCTGGAGAAAGTCAGGCCTGCCACGCTCACACAGCCAGATCCAGCTCTGCGTGAAGCTGGCTGGGCCTCGACCCTGGGTAACTGGGCCCCAGCGCAGCGTCTCTATGTGCGCCTGGGGCTGTGTTCTTTTTTTCTTTCTTTTTCTTTCTTTATTCCTCCCTCCCTTCCTTTTTTCCTCCCTCCCTCCCTTCCTTCCTCTCTCTCTTTTTTTCTTCCATGTATTTATTTAATTTTACTCAAGCTACTTTGACCCTTTTAAACTGAAAAAAGTTCCAGCCAATCCCCACATGCAAGAGCCAGCCCTTGTTCCAGGAGCTCCCAGTGCTGACACGGGGTAGGCCTGATGCTGACTGCATCTGGAATTCAGAGAAGCCGGAGGTCGGAGTGAGCCCCTGCTCTGGTTCCAGCTCAGTCCCTCCCTGGACCTCAATTAACCCCAGGCCTGAGTTGAGTTTAAAATCCTGTGGCCTGAGTTGAGTTTAAAATCCTGTAGCCTGTCTGAGATTCAGCTTCAATGACCAACTCAAGCCCCCCAACACACACGCACACTCACACACGCAGAGTCGCAGGTACAGAGACACACACATGTACACACAAAGAGACATACAGAGACACATACAGGAACAGACACACAAACTGAGAAAGAGACACAGATACACACACACAGAGACACACACAGAAATACACACAGACACACACAAGCACAGACACACACACAGATACACAGAAAAAGAGATACAGACACACAGGAACACACAGAGACACACACACAAATACACACAGGGACAACACACAGACACACACACATCTCTAACGCTCTGAAGACTCAGGCAGGGCCGTCTGTCACCCAGCACAGCCTCATCCTGCCAACCAGGCTGGACAGGGCCCCTGAGGCCATTGCAAGGGCAGAGCAAGTTTGCACGGGGAAACCCACATTCGTTCCCTCGCAACGCTGGCTGCAGCATCCCAGGCAAAGGCTTCCCAGGCTGAAGGGGGGTCCGTGCAGGAGGAGGGGCCCCCACACCGCACCCCATGTCCCACTTTCCTCCCTCTCTCTTCCCACCTGCCACCTCCGGCTCCGCAGCAGGGAGTTCTGGTAACAGCTAGACACACGGGCAGAAACCCACAAAAAGACTCACACACGTGTGTGTGTATTCCAAGAAAGAAGTAAAATCCCTGCTCCCATTGCCATGGCAACCCCACTCGGTGCTACAGCAAGAGCTTTAATTGGCAGTGCTTATTTGGCTGAAACCCCAGGAATAATCAACAGGAGATTAGAAACATTAAAAGCCAGCAGGAGCATCCCGGAGAAGACGACGACAGAAAGGACAATCCCCCTGAAAACTCTATTGATGACAGGAATGACAATCGTATGGTTTATTGCGTGACTGCGTCACGCCAGCCTGTGCTAAGTTCTTTGCATGCGTTCTTTTGTTGGATCCTTCCAACAGCCCTTTGATGATTTCTCCCATTTTACAGATGGAAAGTTACCTGAGGCTCAGAGAGGTAAAGGAAGTGCCCCAAGGCCACACAGGATTTAAAGCCTGCTTGGAATGACTCCAAACGCCACCCTAGTCATGATGGTCATGAGCACTGTGCTTTGCCTGGGGTCCCCAAGGAGGCACCAGAATCAGCTCCCGGGACCCCTGTAGCTTTTCCAAGGCAGCTGACACCCTCTATGCCCCTGGTGGCTAAAGACCACAGCTCAGCCAGCCAGAGGGCCTGGCCAGAGGTGACCTCCAAGACACCAGCCAACACCTGTGTCCAGGTTGCTGCCGGCTTCACCCCTCAGACCTCCTGTCCCTGCTGCTGCTCTGGCCACAGCGTCCACCCTGCAGCCCGCCGTGGGCCTGCTGACCCCTGGTGGCAGCCATGGGTCATGGCACCAAGACATGGACTCAACTCCCAGACCCTAAGGAGGAGAGCGCTGGTCCAGGAGCTCCCCATGCTTGGGAGAGCCCCTGCAAAGGATTCTGAGGGTGCCAGAGCCAGGTGGGCAGGGCAGCGTGGCCAGCACCCAGCACCTTTTGCAGGCGTTCAGAAGGGAAGAGCCGGGTTTCAAGAAAGGCTGCCCTGTAGTTGCTCCCTTTTCTGCTGAGGGAGCAGCTGACAGGGGAGGCCAGTGAGCACCAGGGATCCTCTGGTCACGATAGTCCTGCCACCATCCACAAGCAAGTGGCTGAGGCCTGTCTGCCCAGAGCCCAGCCAATCGGCACTGCAGACAAAGGATGCTGACCTGGCCCTGGGTCCCTGGCCAGGCCCTAGACTTGGAAGGGCTCTGCCATCCCATCCATAGCCCCTGAGCCACTGATGGCAGCACCTGGACCCTGGACCCTGAGCCCTGGTGTCAATCATGATGTCAGTGCTGGTGCTTTCTGAGCGCAGCTCCCGGGGAGCCAACATCGCACCAAGTGCAGGGACCTCCAGTTTTGTCTGTTGCATGATTTCTGGAAGCAAACAGCCTGCAGCCGCTGACAGCAGCCATCAGACAGGCACCGAGAAGAGCCCAGCACGATGGCGGCAGCAGGCGGGCTTCCCAGGCTTCGTAGGCTTCCCAAACGTGTATCCACTGAACAATTTAAATTGCTTTTTTTGAAGCAACTGGCATTTACTCAGTTGGCATCTTATTAAACTTCCCCCTCTTGAGCTCCTCAAATATGCAAGTCACTGTTATTCCAAATCAGGGGACTTACAGTTGAAACGGCGAGGGCAGCGGTGTGCAATGTGACCCGCCTTACCCGGAAAGTCAGAGCGCAGAGGCAGGGTGAGGGCCGCACCTGCCAAGCTGTCGGTCAGGAGCGCACCAGGTGCCGCAGCCGGCTTTGCTCCTTTGCCTGCCTGAGCTGCAGCCCAGACCCAGACCTGAGCCAGCAGAGGAGCTCGGGGTGGATCTGCGCAGGACTCAGCAGGACCACGCTGCCCACCTGCCGCTGGGGCTGAGTAGTTCCAGTGTGGGACCCAGATCCCTGTTGAAGGAAGCCGTGGGCCATGATCTTCCACGGGGTTCCAAGACCACATGGAGTAACATCAGCAGGGAACTCTGGGGAGCCCAGAGACATCTGAGAAGGCCGCTCCCTTACCCAGATGTGAGGAGCCAGGGCTGCCCCTGCCACAGGCCTGCCTTTAGGAAGCAGCACTCAGTGACCCAGGGAATTGGGTGGGGACCAAGGGCTCCCTCTGCCCCTTCTCACATCCCTAACAGAGAAGTCAGGTAACCTGACACAGCCAAGGAGGTGGCTGTCCCCTCTCACTGGCCTGTGTGCAAGCCAGGGGGGAACAGAGAAAGAAGAATCAAAGGCTCTGGGGCTCAGAAAGCTTGAAGCCTCTAAGCAGGCCTGGAAGTCCCAAGGCAGAGCCTCTTCTCAAAGCAAGTGCAGAGAAGGCTGTGCAATAGACCGACAGCAGGAAGGGAGGAAGGGGGGGGGGGAAGGGAGGAAGGGAGAAAGGCAGGGAGGAAAGACAGGAAGAGGGAAAGAGGATGAAAGGGAGGGAAGGAAGAGGAGAGGGAGGGAGGGGGAGAGGGAGGAAGGGAGAGAGGGAGAAAGAGAGGAGGGAGAAGGAAATTGAGGAGGGAGAAAGGAAGGGAGGGAGAAAGAGAGGAGGGAGGGAGGGAGAGAGAGAAAGGAGAAGGAAGAGAGAGGGAGGAGAAAGGGAGGAAGGAGAAGGAAGAGGGAGGTAGGAAGGGAGGGAGGGAGGAGAGAGGGAAGGAAGGGAGGGAGGGAGGAGAGAGGGAAGGAAGGAGGGAGGGAGAGAGACAGGAGAAGGAAGAGGGAAAGAGGAGGGAGGGAGGAGGGAGAAAGGGAAGGAGGGAGAGAGGGAGAGGAAGGAGGGAGAGAGGGAGAGGGAGGAGGGAGAGAGGGAGGAGGGAAGCAAATGGGCGTTGGAGTCAGAAGAGCCGGGGGTGAACCTAGCCCTGCTGTCTACGAGTCGTGCCACTTCCGGCAGTTTCCTCACCTCTGGCCTCCCTTTCCCCACCTGTTAAATGGACTGGGTAGCAGCTCTTCCCTGGCAGGGCTGTTGGGAGCTAAGCGGGGCTATGTGATGGGAAGTGCTCAGCACCGCGCCTGGCACGGCGCTCAACAGTTATTCCCTTCCTGCTCGGTGTCCATACAGGGCCCCCCTCTCCCCTCCAGGTGACACGTGCTCAGCGGGCGAGGACAGGGGTGCACTGCCTTCTCCACCTGGGCTTGGCCCTGTCTCGGCCTGACCCCTTGATTTCTGCTTCTCAGCTGAGGGAAGTGGCTGCTCCGTGGTCCCCGCTGGCCGGCCGGGCTCTCCTTCTGCCGGCTCCTTCCTCCAGACTGGGGGACCCTTTTGCTCACCCTGGAGGATACTGGGTCTCTGAGGTGGGTCTGAATGAATGACGACAGCTTCCCAGGTCCCAGGGAACTAGCGGGGGTTCTCCTGGCTGCGTTTCCCTGCAGAGCTCGAGTGACATCTGTGCTGCCAGAGGTCTAATGTCCCTTGGTATCATCAGGCACGGGTGGCCTGGGCGGGTCCTTGTGAGGGTTCCAGTGCTTGGGGGCCAGGGTGGCTCCTCTTCAACAGTCCTCAGGGCAGCCTGGGGCCCAGGACTGCAGGGATGCTGCCCTGTGTGCGGAACCACACTGGAGACTTCTACAACCAGCCACTAAAGCAGCACTGCCCTAGGAATGGGGGACCGAGGAAGCCGCATGACCAAACCCACCACTGGTCCCATGGGGGTGTCTCTGATGGGCAGCCTCAGGGTCCCCGTATAGGCCGGCCCGCGCTGCCAGTGAACCCCTGGGGACCTAGAGAGGCCAGACAGTGTTCCCAGGACCCCAGAACACCGAGCGAGAGGCTACAGTGTCCTGGAGAGCCAAGGGCCAGGGCCAGAATTGCCTGTGCTTGGGAGAGCTCCCTGTGCACGCTCAAGACAAGGGAGGCCTCACCAGCAGATGACCCGGGGCTCACATGCTAGTCCCCAAGTGGCAAGTCTTCCAAATGCAACAAAGTCCCCTATGTGGCTAGAAAGTCCCCAACAGCACAGCACTAAGGAGCTCAGAACCTGGACCCGAGGACTGTTCGCCCCTCGAGGTGGACGCATGACTCTCATGGGCAGAAGACCAAGTGGGAGCCTCTGGGGGTCTGTCCGTGGAGTGCTGGGCTGATCCCCAGGGCCGTCGGTTCTGTCTGATGCCTGCAGAGCGGGGCCTGGGCAAGATCCACGTTCTTGAGCAGTGGACATCGTCCTCTCTGGCTCCAGCAGTGCCCCCGCCCAGCCCCAGCAAGACTCACAAATGCAGTGTGGACAGAGATAACAGCTACAGTTCACAGAGGGCTGCAGCCACCTCCCTTCATCCTTCATGAGGCCCACGTGAGCCGGGCAGCATTGGGGTTCGTATCGGCCGTGTCTTACAGATGAGAACATGAACGCCACTGGGAATTCAAACAACTGCCCAGCCCTGCGCCCTCAGGAGCAGCTGCCACATGGTGCAAACTCAGACCCACCTCAGCCCAGGGTCCCCGGCTTTTGCCTGGGAGAAGGGCCTCAGGTGCACCTGGTCCTGCAGGCCGGGGCAGTCCTCCAGCAGAACCAATCACTGGGAGATGGTCTCTGGGCCTGGGATGAGCACTGCCAGGAGGGAGTGAGCCCCAGAGCCTTTGGTTCTTCTTTCTCTGTCCCCCCTGGATTGCACACAGGCCAGTGAGAGGGGACAGCCACCTTCTTGGCTGTGCGTTCCTGCCGCCAGCAGGAACATGGAGCTGCCAAGGCACCAGGATTGGGACAGGGCACCAGGGGCCAGTCCCTCCCTCCCATGGTGCAAACTCAGACCCACCTCAGCCCAGCGTCTCTGGCCTTTGCCTGGGAGATGGGTCTCAGGTGCACCTGGTCCTGCAGGCCGGGGCTGTCCTCCAGCGAAACCAATCACTGGGAGATGTCTCTGGGCCTGGGATGGGCACTGCCAGGAGGGAAGGCAGGGGCCACCAGCAGGAACATGGAGCTGCCAAGGCACCAGGATTGGGACAGAGCACCAGGGGCCAGTCCCTCCCTCCCGTGGTGCCCTGGGCCCCTGCCACAGCAACTGATGCCTGTCAAGCCCAGCACAAACACCACGTGGGTGGGGACGCCACAGGCCCGAAAGCTCCCGACTCCACAGGAGGAACGAGTGGACCCCACAGAGCCCATCAAGGTGCCAGTCCCTCAGGGTACAGCCTCATGGCTCAGTCACTGAGCTCAAGGTGCGGCCGCTGGGCATCTAACAATACTCCACGGGCATTTATTGAGCACCTGTGGTATGCCAGGCTCATGCATCAGAGGGAGCCGTGAATAGCACAGACTAAATCCCTGCCTTCCAGGGGCTCCTGGCCCTGGAGTAGATGCACAGTGAAGAAGACGGCAAGAGAGGAGGACAGCAACGATCCCCGAGAGGGGAGAGCAATGACCCCAGAGAGAGGGCAGTGCAGCTCTCAGTACGTGAAGAGACAAAGAGATGGGAGACAGAGAGAGAGAGAGACAGACAGACAGAGAGACAGACTGACAGAGAAAGATGGAGAGACACAAAGAGACAGAGACGAGGAGACACAGAGAGACAGAGACAGACAGAGAGAAAGATACAGAGAGACAGACAGACAGAGACAGAAACAGACAGAGACACAGAGAAACACAGAGATGGAGAGACTCTCTATCTTTCCCTGTGTGTGTATGTCTCTGGAGAGATTGATACAGAGAAAAACAGAAAGACACAGAGAAACAGAGACAGAGAGACACAGAGACAAACACAAAGGGAGAGATGGACAGAGACAAAGAGACAGAGAGATGCAAAGACAGACAGAGGAAGAGACAGAGACACACAGAGATGGAGAGACACAGAGACAGAGACACAGAGAAAGAGAGAGAGATGGAAGAAGGGACAGAGAAGAACAGACATAAAGACGGTAAGGTGGAGACAGACAGACTGACAGAGGCACAGACAGAGAGAAACAGAGACAGAGAGATACAGATACAGAAACAGAGGGAGACAGAGCTAGAGATAGAAACAGTGAGAAAGTGAGAAAGAGACATAGATAGAGACAGAGACAGAGAGAGAGATGCACAGGAGAGGGCCCAGTTCGGGATGGGCAGTAAATGTCAGACGGGGCCAGCACCGGCGGCCTCTCTGCATCCACCCGCAGCCTGTGACCGACCCCTGCTCCAGCCTGCGACCGACCCCTGCTCCAGCCTGCCCTCTGGGGACAGCCCTTCACTTTCTGGGATGAGGCTACACCCAGGTCCAGGTTAAAATTTTCCTCCAGCAGTGCATCCCGGGTATCATGGCCTCTGCATTCCAGGATCTCCCTCCAGTCCCCACTCTGTGCCTAGAGGACCCCAGCTCTTGTTCACCAGCTGGCCCCAGAGAGGCTCATGTGTTGAGACCTGGGCCTGGCCTGCCTGGAACTTCACCTTCTGTCTGTCTGTCTCTCTGTCTGTCTGTCTATCTGCATTGCAGACTTGCTCCTCTCCCGCTCTCCACAGTCTCCCCTCATCCCCATGGAGCCCTGTCGTGTGGCTAAGGCGGCACTTCCTTCCTTCCTGTGGAGGGAGGGGGCTGTGGCGGAATCCCATGCCCCCGCCTACCCCTGGAGACTGGCACTCTTCTCCTTTATATCTTGAAGCCAACAAGAGAGACCTCCACCCCACCAGGGCCCGAGAGCGGTTGTGGCAGTCCCTGCCCCTGGTTTCCGACACGACCCTTGTGGCTCTGCCCCCACGCTGGGCTTTGACTTTGTCTCCCAATGCTGGGCCTCTGACAGCTGAGGTCCCCTCAGAAAAAGGGCAGCCCAGACTGAGATCCCAAACCTGTTGCTGAGGGAGCCTTGCTCCCAGCAGAGCCCAGGGTGCCATGAGGTGCAATTAGCTGGGACAGCATGGGCCTCAGGGACACTGAGGATAACACTGAACACAAAAGCCCCAGGAACCCAGTGTCCGGAGCCTGGGGAGGGTCAGGCACATGCTGGGAACTTTGCCTGCATCTGCCCCTGTAAAGTCAAAAAGCCCTTCTTTCACAGATTGAGGGTGGGAGAGGCTCAGAGAGGTTAAGTCACTTTTCTAGAGCTACACAGCAAGTAGGCAGCAGAGCTGGGGTTTGAACCCAGGCCTTCTGGCTTTGCAACCTGAGCTCACAGCAGTGCTCTGACACCTGCTTCTGCACTCTGCATTCTGCCTCCCAGCCCTCTTCACTCTGAGAAGGCCCCCTCCTCTGTCTGCAGGAAAGTAACAGCAGTCCATCAGAAAGCCCAGCTGGTGGAACACCCCGTACAAGCACCACCGCGAAACAGTTCAGCCCGGAAATGCTTGCCGTCATTTCCTGCTGGGGACAAGCGCTCCTTCTAGAAAGATGTTATGGGTGAATGGTGTCTCCCAACAGATCTTGAAGTCCTCACCCCCAGCACCCAAATGTGATCTTATTTGGAAATAGAGTCTTTGTAGATGAACAAGTTAAGATGAGTTCATTAGTCCAGGCCTTAATCCAGTAAGACTGTGTCCTTACAAAAGGGAGAATTTGGACAGAGACATGCACGGGGAACAGTCTTCCCCACAGCCCTGCCCACACTTGCATCTCAGATTTCTCCAGAATGATGAGAAAATCAATTTCTGCCGTTCAAGTCTCCCGGACTGGGGCACGTGGTGATAGTAGTCCTAGCAAACCAACAGCCGACCAGACCAGGGTTTCTAGAACCAACAGACTCTAATAGAATAACCAGCGGCCAACCCAGACATATTCTGAAAACCCCGCCAGCTCCTGGCAATGCAAACCCAGTCCAAAGATGCCAACTCTGACCCCTGACCTCAACTAAAAGAGTCGCTGTCCCCAGCTCTCATCCTGGGGAGGAGAAGCCCAGAAAGCATTAAAGGGCTGAGGGGAAGAATCTTGAAAATTAGCTCAGCCCTGGACCCATAACCTGAGACCTTCAGGCAGGAACGTCATCTCATCTCCTGCCCCCAGGGGACCATCCTAGGGCAGCGGGGGCTCAGGACAGGGACAGTGCGGGGCAGACATCCCCACAGACATCCACCTCAACCCAAGCTGGAAAACAATTTTTCCAAAACAGAGTGAGGTTGAGATGTTTCAAGCACAGGCACTTACCGGGTCACAGAGCTGTTTATCTGGAATTATTCTAAATAAAGGCTCATGTCGGCCACGCGGATTCCGTTTGTGCCACTCCTAGAGTGAGAACAAATTTCCGTTATTAAGAGAGAAAGCTCTCAGAGCTGAAGGAGCATGAATATTTGCAAATTCCATGCAGATTCCACCTCTTTCTCCCCACAAGCCAGCTACTTAAAGAGCCACTTGGGTAGAAGGAACATTCCAATTACAAATGTTTATTCACTTGTCTCCATTCTAGGGACAAGAGCTCCCTCCTTTGTCAATGGCTGGCCACGTGCACAGAAGTGCCTGCTGTCACCTTGCAGGCCTGACCTGTGGGAGCACCCTGAGCCCACACTCACCACTGGCCCTGGTAGGAGGCCATGAATGGGGTGGGGGCCCTTGCTTCCCCCTAGGCCCTCTGAGCACCCTCCCTGAGACAGTGTAGGTGGGACTGGGTACAGAGACAAGAAGGCACAACCCCTGCTCACAGCATGGCAGGAGACCACATGACTCAGGAGTGCCAAAGTACTAGAGACAGAGCAAAGGTCCCCGGGACCCCAGAAACCAGGGACAACACACCTGGGGGCCCACAAACACAGGCAGAGATACCCAAAGCTGTGGGCTGAATTAAAGGGACCTGCTGAGCCCAAGAGGTTAAGTAAGGGAGGAAAATCCTGCACAGCAAAGCTCGCCCCCTGGACAGTTAACTCAGAGACGATGGCTGATGGATCCCTGAAATCCCTCACCCAGTGTCAAACATCAGCTAAATCCTGAGCCATTCATGTCTGGGAGCCTCTGGGTCTGAATCGGGCCCCTGCAAAATGACATCCACCTTCTAACTTGAAAGCAGTCACTGACTGAATACAAACTGCTGTGTCCTTTGTGCCTGGAGTTGACATTTCCCATCTGCTGCCAGGACACCCTAGGCTCGGGGCCCTGAAAGATAGGCAGACAGGATGAAGGGACGCCAGGGAGGGTTTGATTAAAACTAAACATCGGACTCATGGAAAAGAAAAACTAAAATTTCCTGAAAAGTTTCCGTTTCGATTAAATATGCTGTGGGACCGCACCATAGCCTAGAGCTAGAAACCATCACCAGCCCCATTTTAGAGTCGAGCAAACCAAAGGGAAAGGAGTTGTGTCATTTCCCCCAAGTGCGTAGTGGTCCGGCCAGGAGATGAACCCAGCCTCCCCGGCTCAGAGGTTGCCCACATTCTCCTGGGTCCTGAGCCTGCTCTGACCACACCCCCCAGGTCCCCGGCTGGAGCCCCTGCCCTGGCAAACCCAGCTATGGCTGGAAAGTGGTTTGGTGAAGCCAGAGGACCAGGCGCACTTAGAACTCTTGTAGACAGAGAGAGCCTCTGGCTCGATCCCCATTTCACAGAGGAGGAAACTGAGGCCAGCGAGGAGAAAGCATCGCTCAAACCTGCGAATGCAGACGCCTGGAAGATTCTCCACCCTCGCATGTCTACGCAGGACCAAGCGGACATTCCAAGGGGAAATCCCATTGCTGCCGCAAATTTTAGGGGATGGGTGAGCCAACAGAACTGGCAAGCCCAGGTTGCCTGGGGTCCTGGGATCTGGGTGAAACACTGGTGGGTCACAGGTCCTTAGGCACAACCCCAGTAAGGGGACTGAGTCCCGTCCCAGAACTCAACCACAGCCCCAAGCACCCTTGCTGCTGGAGGGTGAGCCAGGGCCCCGACAGCCTGATTTCTTGGTTTCTTGAACAGGCGGCTAGAACTGGGGCTGGGTGGCCGTGCAGTGACCGTCTACCCGTGACCACACAGGCCACTCCTCAAAGAAAGATCTGGGGCTACTAGAGAGTTGATTTACGGAACATAACCGTCCTCCCAGCAGGGATTCTGTTCACTGAGCTTCAGACTCGAAAAGAATCTTCCTGTGCTCACAGAGAAAACCTCCCTTCTCCTGGACACTGAATCCCCACGTGGAAACTGCCCCCGAAAGACAATGGGCCAGGCCTAACAGACGCAGAGGAGCAGGCGGGAAGGGAGAAGGGACAGGCCGGGCGCGGTGGCTCAAGCCTGTAA